TGGCAGGTGACGCACACTCGCCCAAAATAACTAGTATTAGCAATACATCTATGCTGATTGCTGAACGATAGCTAGTGTGGGTGTTTTTGAGGTTTTGCTGTTTTCTTGCTTTAGTGAGCACTGGCGTATCCATGGCAGAAAGGTGGTCTTGGACGCTGCGGGGAAGCACCCCAAAAAAATCTCTAAATTAAAAAAAAATCATTGGATTTCGGTTCTTTATACACTGCTGTGTAGTTAGTTTAAATTAAAACTTTCCCAATAAAAGTTGTTCAGTTTTCGTTTCATCAAAAAAACGTACCTAACATTTGGTCGATTTCGGGCGTTGTGGGGGGGGGGGAGAGGGGATCGCTTGCACCAAATGCCCTGCTGGATCCGCCAGTGTTAGTGAGCTTTCATTTTTGATTGTGTAGGCATCAGCTCAGTTTTAACTGCAGTGTTTAGTTCTTGCTATCATTAGGTCATTCTGTGTTCCCATCTTTGAGGCAACATAAATGGGTTGGGGTATGGTAAAATAGAATACCCAAACATGCTTTGCATATTATGTTCTGTTCCTGCGACCCGTTGGGGGGGGGGCAAAGGACCTCCCTGTGGTTTTTCGCAGATAACTCAAAAACGGCTGCGAATTTCGCCTGGAAACTTTCAGTACCTCTCCGGAAATCAAGTTTACACAACTCCTGAAAAATAAGGTCCCAGGTCATCTCAGGTCACGAGCTATAGAGGTCAAACTGAGTTCATGTTCTGCGATTTTTCGTCGAAAAGGGTGTTCACGGAGAAAATCGCAGAAAATCGGGAGTTATTGACGATAAACTCTTATGACCTAAATGACGTCATGCAACGTCAACAATGCAAAACTGAAGCATCGTACCTTTCAAGGAGTGCAAGAGATCACGAATCCGTGTGCTTGAGATAGCAAGAGATCGTTCCCGGCGCTAAAATAGCAGTTTTCCTTTTTCCCTATTTGCCTATAATGGTGAGATCATGTGACCGACCTGATCTCATGTGACCTTAACCCTCGCCGGCACAGGGGGGGGGGGGGGTTGATGCAACCCCCCTAAGATTTTTTCGCGAATAACTCGCGTAAAAAGCGACCGATCGCGACGAAACTTTCAGTATCCTCGCATTGCTTAATTTTACACCTACTCTGAAAATTTCATGACCCTGACCCAAATGACCTTTGAACTGTGACCACTTTCCGAGACCATGTTTGGCCGGAATCGCGATTCGGCGTATGTCGGCTCGCATTAGCCGCGCGTTTGCAAGCTTTTCGTGGTTTCAAACGTTCAAACATGTGATTTGATGCTGCTCCCATATATTAGGGTGGGTGTCAAGGTTACCTGAAGGTCAGGTCAGGTCATCGACCTTTGGTGACCTCGGGTGACCTCGCTTCACTTTTTCGAGTTTTACATGTTTCTAGGCTAGTTTTTGGAGCTGAATTCGAATTTAGCAACCATTTAAACATTTACGAAGCAGTTTTGGTGCCTTCGTAACATGTTACGAAGCTGTCAGAGGCGGTTGACACGTATTACAAATACCCGTCGGCCATCACAACCTCCACCGGTTGACCTGACCTGACCTGACCCGACCTGGTCTAAATGCTTAAAGACATCATTTCTGATCAACACTAACACGATATTTGTGATCAGCACCCCAGAAAACCACATAGCAGCCACACTTTACGACTTTCTAACAGGTCCCGATTTTCCCGGTTTTCGGGTCATTGACCTGACCTGGAAGGTCACCCGATGACCTAGGACCTTAAAATTGGGTATCATTGGCTTCCTCTCGTGACGGGCAACACGCTCGTTTTTTCCGCGAAGCTCTAGCTCGATCAGGGGCCAAACGCGAGGGGGGTCGTACCCCCCCCCCCTTGTGCCGTCGAAGGACGCAAAATGGCCTGTGCCGGCGAGGGTTAAGGAAAAATCCGAGATATACACGTTGTGAGACCTCTAGAGGATACTACATCCTGTAAGTTTCATCTCCCTGTGAAAGTTCCTCTGGCACTGAGGGCGTTGCGAAGTTGCGACATCTGAGGATCGTGCAGAGGTTCACTTATGATGTCATAGGTCAGTGACCTGATCTGACCTGAAAAATGCAATTGATGTCACAAGATGCGGCTTGGAACAAAGGTCAGGTATGACAAGTTTCAGTTCTCTACCGCCGGTGTGTTTGGAGCTATCGCGAAAAAACCAAAAGAAGGGGGGCATCGCCTCCCCCCTCGGCCGGCGAGGCTTAATCTGTTCATACCAGCTAACATCAATTCGTAACAATTGCAGTTTTTCTCGCATTGTGCGGTAAGCAGGTAACTTGTTAGATAACCGAGGATAGGAGGCTATGTGATTGACTCCCTGATAGCTTGCCCTCTAACTGTTTTGTCATTTCTTTCGTACTGGGATCACTGACCGGGAGAGCGTTGTAAGCACCTAATGCTTGATTAGCCCAGTAGTTCTTGACAAGCGGGTCACTGACATTGGGCCTTGTGGTGTTCGATATTAATGTCGGACGGCGGACACCGCTATGAGGGCGCGAGCTTCCTCCCAGAATGTCCGACCGTTCCGAGAAACGCCGGTACTATCCAGTCTCGCCCGCGGCAAATCTGAGGAAGGGGCGGCGCTATCCGGTCCCATCCGAGGCGCTTCTAGGAAAGGGCGGTCTATTCGGTCCCATTAGCGACATTTTTAGAGTCAGGGCTCCCGGCGACAGCTGGTCAAAGAAGCTGAGACTCGTCCCGCGGTGCTACGGCCCGTACCCTTATCTTTTTTAAAAGCCCCTACAGCCTGGTTATATACGAAAAATTAACAAACACATGACAGTTGACACATCAACAGCATTCAGAACAGGCAGTCAATCAGACAGACAGACAGACAGACAGACAGACAGACAGACAGACAGACAGACAGACAGACAGACAGACAGACAAATTTATACAATTTTGAAGGGTCAGCTTGTTTGCAGAAACGCAGGTCAAACAACGTGCCGGCACAGAGCTAAGACGCATGTGTCTTGTTTACTGGACAACATGTAGGATGTTCGAAAATCGAATGTTAAATCCCTAAATGCGATTCGTTGTAAGCACCGTAAACGGGTGTGACTTCGCCACATTTTCAACTTTGGACGCTTGTATTTTTTTTTTTAACTTGCAAACTTATTGGAATGACTATAGCCGTTTTCACGACGGGCTATCCGGCAAGTGCACCTGATTTGACCAAATCTGCACCTAATTTCTTTTACAGCAAATATTTTCAGGTTATGAATTTATTTCAGTGTTTTAATCGATGATGCTCTCTGATAATATGACAAAGCAGGCATATAAGCGATTAGTGCAACCCTAGCTGATAGCTGCTAAGAGACACACTAAACCTGATTTGACCAAATCTGCACCTAATCTGTACCAGATGTGCACCAAATGTGTACCAGATGGCCGTCGTGAAAACGGCTTATATCGTTCAAAACACGGGTAAGTACTAGCTCTTTAGGTCTTGTTATTATTCTGGTTATATTTTGCCTGAAAATATTCATTTCTTAAAGAAAAAAGTCGTGGCAAAGTTCAATTGAAAAAGAGAGAACTTAGCCACCCTGCCAAAAAAAAAAGAGATTTTGTAACGTTAAAAAAAGGAGCGCATTTAGGTAGGTATTGTGTGATAGCTTATCTGTCAGTGCTGCAGTTATATTGAGAGGACCATCAATTATCTTTCATACATGCATCAAAAATGATAGCTTCCATTGTAAAATATCACTGGAGATCACCCTTAAACATTTTCGAGAAAAGTGGCAAAGTCTTAGAGTCGAGGTCAGAGTCGAGGTCGAGGTCATGATCAAAATTGAATCAAAACTGTTCAATTTTCCGCATTATCATATACCGAATTTCAATATTTCTCATCTAATCAGGCTCTATTTGTGTTTCATACAACGATACAAGGTTTCTCTAAGTTCGAGGTCATGCAAGAGCAAAGCATCCTTGCTAGATGCTATGCTATGAATTCAAGCCAGCCATTATACCTAATTCAGCCATTTTTGTCATCTTGAGGTTCTTCATGAATGTTAAGAGTGATGGATGCCAGATTCACAATCAGCGGCTACGAATACATAAAATAACAACTATCACGTGTCAAAGCCATCAAAAGTCATCCAAAGTCATTCGAGGTCACATAAGGTCAACATAAAACTTGACCATTTCCAAACAAACCAAACAAAATGTATCTCATTCGGTGCGGCTTGACAAGCCGAATGCGTTTGACATGCGCTGTTTTAGCTCTAGGACCATTTTTGTTGAAATTATTTGCGAAAAACTATAGCACTGGCTGGGGCTTGCTTTTGACCTTATCTCTTACCTCAGGCCACCACAATTATTTGTGCATTTTTCTAGCTGATATGCAACACAACCGTCCTCGTATATTGTCCTCATCTTTAAAAGTTTATGTTTGAAATTTACGTCTATAACATCGAAATTTGTCGTGGAAGGAACCAGCAAAATTTGCCCTATTACGTCACCAAAGGGGACTAGGTCCAAATATTTTACTCCAGGAGGTGTCAAATTGGTAGGAAAAAAGGTACTGAAAGTTGTGTGCTGCTATCTCCAAGCGTTTGGAAGCTATCGCAAATACTCGTCAGAAGGGGCGAAAAACACCCTTCCCCGCCGGACCCACGAATTTAATTACCAATGGAAGTGGTATCAATAATGATTAAAAATGATTCAATAAACATGGTTTAATAGATTCGAAAGTCAAAACCATCTTTTCACCATGATATAAAAAAAAACTTTCGAAGGACATTAAAGAGACTTTCTGAAGCACACCCGGCCGTTCGAAGAAACGGGCCATGCTGTTTGTTTTACTTGTGACTAGCAAAAGGAACAGACTCTCGCAGCGCACTCCTCTCGCCTCTCATCGAGAGGCTGGCATGACAAATATATGTAATACAATAGTTGTGCCTTCAGATAAAGGAAAATCGATTCAAGAGCCATTTTTTAATAAACTGAGCGTAACAAAGCAAATAGACGAACCTCGATTCTCGTGGTATATGTATTTGTCTTCATATAAGTGGCTCTTCACCACGTCAGCGGTTCAAACAGAATCCGCTGCAAAGCATGCATTCACAGACGGCTGCGAGCGGGCGCCGGTTCAGACACAGGAGAGCAGCACGGGTCGGCCCTCACCCACCAGACGACCGGGTGTGGGTCAGTTGAGTACTTATAGAGCTGCCGATCGGCGATAAGACGCGACTGAGCGTGTGGCGCCCGCGGGCGACCTATCACAGCGCGAGCCAACGCACGGCCTAGCGTCAGACCCGCGGATTCACGCTCCACCCGCGGGCCGAACGGCGGATAGTTAGACACCTGATCCTGTCTAACGGGCGCCTGTGATTAACATGAGTATTTGGTAAAAATACATCAATCATGCATCAGGATTTATAACAGTACATAATTTCCCTCGTGTTTTCAGACAACGCCACATGGTGTAACATACGATGCTGATTGCACGCCTATGAAAACATACTTGTAGCCATGACGATACGAAACTCTCGAACGAATGCCTGTGTTGTTAGAGCACTTCACGGATAGGCTTTTTAGGATCCGGCCCGGCCCATATCCGGCAAGTCATATCCAGATCCGCCCATTATCCGCCTTTCTTTGAATATCAGAATCCGGCCCACCCATGGCCCGTATTGCAGCCAAACTTCCAAAAAATATCCGTAATAATCCGTTTCACCAATAACTGGTTTCACCCAAAACTGGACTAACAAATTCAATCTAAGGGACCAGACAGCCATACAAGTCTTATGACAAGTGAGTGTCATAAAATGATGCCTATTACTTTAATCAAACCTCTGCTGCCGCTTAACACATTAGGTTAATTTTTAACTTCAATGTTGAATGTTAAAATTTTGATCCGTTTTGATCCGGGTTCAACCTTCAATTCCCAAATCCGGCCCGCCCATATCCGTTCTTTTTTAACAAATTTAGAATCCAATCCTATCCGGTCCGCGGATTTATCCGTGGATAACGGATTTATCCGGCCCATGAAGTGCTCTATGTGTTGTGTTGGATGTTGAACCCTGAGTTTAAAATGTCAATAGTTTCGACGTTACCCTATGTAGTTCAGCACAATACTTGCCGGCTGCTAAGTGCATCTTCGATACCCCTAGCGCAGCGAAATTAACCAACAATCGACTATCACCGCGGAGGAGCTCATCACAAACAACGCTACCCATGTGTGCACACACCACACATTGCGGCAGCCGCGCTGTCTCACAGACGATGGAACAGCATACAGTCCATGGTGCACGGTTTATGCTACAACAAGGAATATAGCATTTCATGTGAACATGTATCACTCAAAACAATGTACCTCAAACATCTTGCACTCCACCCAGCAGGCCGCTCTTAGCGTTCATGCTCGAGGTCACAAACGTCCACGATATTGGCAGTCACGAGAAAGCGCTCTCATATTGTGACGCATCAGGCACCCGAGCGTTCGTCCTTTTCCTCTTTCTATCAGTGGGCGCGCACGACCAGTCACAATCCGCAGGTCGCCGACCGGGTGTTCAGAGGTCTCCTCTGGCCTCTTTTCTCCTCTCCTACCCACTGTACTGCGCGCGGCGCGCAATGTCGCTCAGAGTCCGCCGCACGGCACCGTCACTGTCCCCCTGAGGGGTCCTGGCCAGCTCCAGGAGGAACACAGATCCCAGCACAGAGCACACCGGCTCTCCGAGCCGAGCCGCTCCTCGACCATCAGCTCCAGGAGAACCACTCCTGCTGGCGGTCCCAGTGCTTGATCTCGAGGTCGTACCTGCCCGGATCGTCTCCCTGGTAGCGGGACGGCGCCACCACCATTCCACCTGCCAACCAACCAGTTTCAGTCACCGGACAGCAGTCGCAGCTGACCAGGGATCATCAGCCTCGCAGCTGAGTCCGCTGCACACTCACAGCATAGGGTGCATTGGAGTGCACTGTGCACTGTGGTGCACTGTGATGTGTATATGTGAAGTGAAACTTGCGCAATATACCTAAAAGGGGTCCGTTAGTTTGCAGCCTCCCTCCTCGTTCTGCATGCAAAGTGACCGGTCTGCAGGTTACCTAGAAACCGCAGCCGCTGCCCGATCCCCCCACTATTTAATAGCACGTTTGTCTATTCATGAATAACGACTGGATAGCTATTATTTGATTTGCGACAATGCAACCACCACCATCAGCATTTGATAAGGATGTAGGTACTGAACAGTCAGTGGAACTAATACCAGTATAACGCCTTTTGGGGCGACTAACGGAGTGAGCGAGAGGGTGAGCCTTGCACGTGCGAAATTGCGAGGGGGTACCTCCAACTGAGTTGTGCACGGCACCCTACTAACCGGTCTCTAGCGATGTGCCAAATTTGAGCACAATCGGCCCAGCCGTTCTCGAGATCTGGAATCGACCCCTGCACGTGCGCACGTGCAGCAGCACCTCAACTCTGGCACATGGATATGCATTGCGTAGTCGGTGCCTACCTACACACACAGAAATATTGAGCGGAAAAACGGTGTAATTGAAAGTACCAAAAGGAACATTTTTTTGTGTAAAATTACTCTGTTTTCTTGGTAAAAGAACACTTATATGTGTGTTTTGCTAGCTTTGGAGTGTTTCACTATTGTGTAGGAGAACCGCTTTCGGTGTAACTTTACCGCGAATCTCGCGTTACATTTACGCACAAATATGTGTTTTTGGTAAAAAGTACCAAAAGGAACACTCGTGTGGTAATCGTACACAAATTCATGGCGGTAAATTTACAGAAATATAACGGTTATTGTAACGATTTTTTCTGGTAAAGCTAATGTTGGGCCCGCAAAATTTGTAACGGCGACACGCGGCGGACGTTGCCGCCAGCCGCAAGCCTAGCTAAATGGAACGAAACATTGTGATGCTCAATGCCTACCCCATTCTGCAAACACGTATATTTGTTTGTTTGTCGTTTATTTATAAGAATCGACATCACATCTGACGAAAATAAAAGTTAGATTAGCGCAAAAGCACAACCTTATCATATACATAAGCTGATATTTCACAATGCATGGGGCGTCGCTACAGGCCGCAGCCACCGCCCGTCTCCCGTCAACTGCCCGTAATTAATAAATAAAAATATGTCATCTGTACACACTATTTCACTGTGCCAAAATTATCGTTCATTTAAATAGCCATCGGCTCTCTATTGCCTATCTGGCAAAATATTAGTATAACTATACCTAATCAACCCTAGAAAAGCATGAAAGTGCATCCATTATTTTCATAACACGACAGCAGCTTAGTTGAAAAATTACAAGCCCACCTTAGCACTCCGACAAAGCTGGATAATTTCCAGCAGCTCCTCTAATGTCGCTCCGCTTCAGATTTCAGACTCGGTCTTGATTGCAGTTATCAGACGATGACCACAATGCAGTATTTCACTTATTATTTGCACTTATCCACTCATTACTCAGCATATTATCCAACTAGATAAGCACCACAGCACTGTTTTATCTCACTGATCGCACAAGAATGGGCAAACAACTCTGCGCACTGCAGCCACAACACTCCCCCGCCGGCCCCCGCGGTCCCCGGCGCACAACTGACAGATTGCGAAAATGGCGCCGCCGCCGTCAGCGTGAGCTCAAAATTTCGCTAAATTTACACGGATCGACGTAAACGCACGGTGCTCTAGATGTGTACCGCAATTACCAGTGCGACACAACACTCATTCGCGTATGGATGCACTTGCTTTGCATAGAAACATATCAGTTAGGTATTTGAACATCTGTTATGCTGTTACATTATCCTGTTTTGCGTAAAGATGCTTGTGTGGTGTAATAAAACTGCCGATGTTTGTAAGTTAACCAATAAACGTCGTATAAACACAAACTTATTCTTGATGCCTTTACTCATTATGGCGTTGTGCAACGGATACCTTGCTTATTTATCACGAAAATACTTAGACTAAAGATATTTTACTAAGTGAAGCAAAACTTTGAAGCTATCTGAACTATTTACGAGTATATTGAACTTGACATCGCTCAATATTTCTGTGTGTGTACATGCCAACTTTCAGCGCAATCGGCCAAGTAGTTACAAAGTGATACCTCTTCGTTTTGCACGTGGCACGTGCATAAGGGGTCACCCACATGCATCGGGAATAGTCCAATACTTGGTAGAAGGAATGAAGCTACCCTACAAAAATTACCGCATGTAAATCGGTCAAGTGGTTGCTGAGATATAAGCCTCGCAAAAGCGTGACCACGGCCGGCCGGCCGCTCATACTCAGAAATTTCCGTTAATCTAAGGAAAGACTACGCTCGCTTCGCTCGCTCCGTAATGAAGAAATTGGCACTTGGATTGACGATTAAAAGTTGCACCGAATGCAAATAACGAACAATTTTTAACGGCTGCGGTAATTGGTAGATCATCCAGCCCGCTAGAAAATAAACATCAGACTGAGCATGGAAAATAATCAAGACACTTCTCAAGCTGACCAATCTCCACGATTCGGCTCCGGAAAGTACATGTTCCTGGTAAGCAGATGGTAACGAACACCAGCCCTCGCTTCCCACACAGAGCGCCAGGAAAGCCACGCGGCCGCGCATGCTGAGTTCTTACCGCTGAGGTAGGAGCCCCAGAAGCTGAACGTGCCCACCGAGATGATGGTGTGGTTGCAGAGACTGATGGCGGCCATGTCGAATGCGATCGGATTCGACACATCCTGCTTGTGACCTGACGACGAGCAAATAAAACAACATGACCTCAGAGTGCAAACGTCCGCCACTCCACAACATAGTCCTCGTCACCCATGAGCGATCCAACCATTTGATTCCCATGTAGATTCCCTCTGTGACACCCCATGTCACTCACTTGTGTAGTAGACGTCTCCGAATTTGTTGGGGACGCTGCGCATGGCGAACTTGGGCTCATCGGTGGCCACGATGAAGACGACCTTCTTGTACATGGTTCGGTAGTAGGCCATCGCGGTGGCGAAGTACTGCAGCGACGGCAGGTCGCGGTGGTAGTTGTTCTGTGGAGGCGCGCCATCTCGCAGAGGTCAGACCAAGGTGGCACATAAACAGCACAGACACGGGTAATCTCCGAATAGACGTGAATAAAACACCGCGGCTGGTCGCGCTCTCCTACCCCAAGAGCCGCCTTGCCGCAGCTACTGTCGTATGAAGCCACAGCTGGATTACAGTGAGCGGCGAACGTCAGACCGAGGCGCGTCACGCCCCGTATGCAGAGTTTGGTCGCGCTGGAATTATCCCAGGCTGCGGGCAGACTGGCGGCCGCGCCGGCGGAGCCGTCTGCAGAGCGGTGCTTGCGGCGGGGTGTCTGTACTGCAGGGTGGTGGGGATGTTCCAGTCCAGCTCGTTTCACATGACATATAGCGCATATGATCCGCATAATGGCCCATGCAGCCTGTATGAAGCCGTGGTGCGATAATTATCTAGGCAGACTTCTCAGGTGAACCTCGCGCCTCAGGCCGATGGCCCGAATTCAGGCAACGAGCCAGATCGATTGGTATTTTCTTAAATAAGTTTTTCCTGAATTCAATTTTTTGCTACAACAGATAGTACCTACTACGTCGCCCACTTCTCTTAAAATAGCAGCGATGTGCGGCTTATTTCTAAGTAGGTATTGCTTGACATGTGCCGTAACTGACATAAAAGAGCTGCAAGTCTACAACACCTGAACTTAGCTTGAACTGCACATCAGCTAGATTAACCATCGCGGGACGTATCGCTTTTCTGCATATATACGCCCTGCAGTCAAGTGGGAAGTTTGACCACCATCTCCGTTTCGTCCCTAATTGAGCTAGAACGTATAGAAAAAAAGGAACATGTGCGCCGCTACGAGCCGAAGTGACTGGTATGCGATTTTATGGTACCATGTCAACTTGTAACCTGAGGTCACATCAAGTGCCCCAGCCCCCAGAACACGACTTTGATACCATTGTGCTAGTCACGCTCAGGCGCGTTGAATTGTCTTGATATACTTTTTGTTTGGGTGAGGTAAGATTTATGTGTTGACCTACGGTGAAGGTCAGGTCAACGGCACTCACGTCACGGAGGTGGTCGAAGGATGTTATATCCACGTTATATCATATATCATTCAGTTCGGCGGGTCTTTCTTAGTCCATTGGTGACTTACCCACTCGGTATCTCAGCTTGATCGGGATTTATTGATGAAAACCCCCAAAGAGTTTCATGACGTCATAGATAACGGCACGTAAGGTCAACAAAGCAGTTATGCATCGGACCTCGCAAAGAGTGTACATTAGAACTTACATCATTTCCACTTACCTCATAAACTTAAGGCTCGCTTGAGTCACGGGGTCACCAGTAATTTCACATAGTTTACCACCACATGGCATGCCATACAGCAACCGAAATAACTCCTGGTTTCACGCATGGAAAGATAACTACTAACAACCCAGCACGGTACAACAACGTTTAGGTTACCTAGGACAAGTGGCTGTGATTGTCGCGACAATTTCACGCGCTCTCGCCCCTGGGGTCGTCAGGGCAGGCACACACTCACCACAAAGTCGACGTTCTGGTCGGTGCCTCGGACATGTACGCCGATAAACACAGGGTCCTTGCGGCGGCCGGACGCCTTCCTCAGGTAATCCTGCACCTGTGGAGAGCACATGGAGCCCGGGTTAGTCGGATGCGACGATCGCACTCACCGTCACTTAAGCGCACATAGGTTGTTGAAGCCAGCGATTTTCATTTGGGGTCGTGGGTTGGGAAATACATGTCAACCTTGAATAGCAGCAATAACAAAATTTTGATATCTTAGAAGTAGGATTATAACTATAAAAAGAAAAAAACACACACACACAAACACATTTTCAAAAGGAAAAGTGCGGAGTAAATTTGATCAGTTATTACGAACATTGGGCACTTACTTACTCACGCATGCATCAGTCATTAGGATCGAGGTAAATAGTTGCTTTTACTTACTTCATTCTGCAGTGTTTGTGGAAAAATGAATTCCTCTCTTGCCAGACGAGGTAAATATGGCGAAAAGACAGGAAATCCATTCCCAGGTGGCCAATCTGTAATTACACATAAGGACGAAATAAAACATTTGTTACGAAATGTTTGGAAACCTCCCCGAATTTAATCAATGGCATGTTTCTTGCGTGATATCGTACGGCGTGTGTGGATGGTTTTAAATCTTCAGGACTAATAACGTGTTCAAACTCAAGCAGGATAAATATGAAACTTATCCATGAAAAGAGCCCTCAGCCTCAATGTTTCATGCTTTGCATTAACCCGATGATGGCTGGGATACGGGGCCATGCAAAGCTCCCTCCATTTTTTCTGCAATATCTTATAAAGCAATGGGCCCATCGCTCCAAACTTTCACCCCTCCTGCTGAATTACTTTCGAATTCTTACAAAATTTAGAATTAAAGCACGAAGGTAATTCAGGTAAGTAGAAAAAATCGTACCAATCACGAGTTAACCGAAAATGGCGTAAGAGTTACATCATATTCGGTCGATTTTTTATGTAAAATGTGGTTCTGAAGCAATCACTGCCAGCAGCTAGCAAGCATATTTAGTAGGTACTGATTGTCAATAAACTAAATACAATTTTCGGTGCGATCTATGTAGACGCATCACAAAACATTTGTGATTGGCACCATTCTATACAAACATCAAACTTCCCTGACCGGTCTGGCCTATAGTTTGACCTCAAACATATGACGTAAGTACCTACCTGTAGCCTCGGCTCAGAACTCACGGGCTATTTTCATCATACATTTATGAGCGGGTACGATGAATGCATCCCTTGTTAGGTTAATAATATTTGTTCATATTTATTTACCATATAAAACAGTGATGATATCTACACACAACAATGACCAATGATCTCAGCTCTTGTCTTCAGTGCTACGCTGCAGCATCGTTTGTGAAGAGAAGTAATAGTCGGAAAGAAAGACTAAGAAATCGGGATGGGAGAAATGAAAGATGAGAGGAAAGAGAAAACAGAAAGAGGGAGGGAGAGAAGGAAAGAGGAGAGCGTAAAGACAGACAGGGCAGGGTGGAGAAAGCCAGCAGAAGTAATACAGCATCGACATAATGGCCCATTCGTTGCATCAAAAAGCGCTAGTTGGCCGTCGACATTACGTCCATCCTGCTGCACCGCTGAGCGGTATTTACGATCCGGCTGGACTCGATGGCCGCTCGGTTTTCCCGGCGGCCGCTGCAGGCTAATTTATGACGCTCCCATGGCTGGCCAACTTACGCCAGTCATGTGCTAGCACCAATCGTAATGCTGCAGCCTATGCTGAGCCATATGCACTGTGAGCTGACGATGACGGCGCGCGCTGGCTGAATATATGGCTGTCTCAGCTCGGCGGCGGCCGGTCGGCAGCGCGGCGGTGATACGGCGGTCAACGGCCGGCACCGAGCCGCGGTGCAGCGTCGCCAGTGCACGTGTCCCCACGGCGCACGGTCGACGGCCGCTCTCGTGGCATGACCGGCGCTCTCGTGGCATGACGATGCACTCGTGACGGGAGCACGAAGAGATTGAGAGCGGGCCATGTGGGTCGCAGACCAACACTCACACCATGAGTGTGGCGGGGCAGAGTGGTGGGATGGCCGCCCGACAGGGTAGGAGCCGCGACAAAGTCCGGAATATAGGATATTTGAAGGTACTACAAATGGAACAGTATTCAAAAAATGTAGAGACAAGTAATAAGCGATAATTGATGATAGTCATGAAATGATAAGCCGTTACACAAAAGCTGCTTTTACGAAACATTTACGAAAAAATGCATAGGCCATGCAGTGAAGACTTCGTAAGTCATGACTAGTTCGCAAGAAGAAATTGTTTGGTCGATTAACATGAAACAGGCATCGTAGCACATTGCTAGTGTGTCCATCTCGGTCCCGTAATATCTTCATGTATTTAAATCGGGTCTTGATGTCTGCAATTTGTGCTTTCAATGGACAATGGAGGACATTTATGCGCGACGGTATGGTACTCACCGGCCACCACGATACAGTGCTCGTCAGGCCGATCCCGGAAGCACGGGAACCGTTTGCCTATGCTGGTTGGGCACGGCAGCAGCACCTCGAGGTTCCGGAACCAGGTGAAGTGCCACTTGGCCTTCTTGTACTCCTCTGCAGGCGGGAGGGGATGCCGGGAGTGCGTGTGAGTGGAAACTCGAGTATAGAAACAATACATTTAGGGACGTGTACACTCACAGTGGCCAAAAATATGGCAGAATTTACATGTATGTCTTTGAGTGGCAAACAAATACAACCAAAACGGCATGTGACCGCAAGTGAGACGATTAGCGAATGAATATTGTCATGAATATTTAGCATTTTTGTCTATTTGTTGTCTGTGAAGATTGCAAACTGGTACGTGTTTATTCAGCTGTTACAGTATACTGCACCAGCGTAACTATCGCAAACGAGTTTTATCGAGTAAAAAGCCATGAACGCCATGAACCAGAAGGAGAAATAATACTCACTTGGTGGTGGTCCGATGGTAAGATTGTGAAAGTATTTATTCAAACTACTTGCTTGTTCGCTTGTTGTAAATACATTGATATTGTATTTATCTCGTAGCGCGTACAAGACACTGTACTTAATCATTAAATTACCTAGTCTTGAACTACCAAATAACAAAAGATGAACCTTACACTTGGACTCTTCACTCAGCTTCTGTAAAAAAATAAAAATAAAGAGAAGGCGTCAGTGCCACATATCTCATAGCATTGCATCCAAGCTAGCGGTCTTGAGGCTATTTTTTACTTTGAGCACTCCGGCACATCTCAAGCAGAGGTACGAAATAAAACCAAGATGGTAGACAAAATAACCAACCAAAAAGGAGCGCTTTATTTTTTCACGTTTGAGATCAATCAGACCGACACTTACGTCGTAAAAAGTGAACGTTCTGGTGCCTGTCAGTTGGGCTGAAATGACCAATGAACTATAACGGTTGACCAGACTGCAGCTAAGCTCGCAAGTCATACCTACCCGCCTGTAACAATCAAATAAGGTTTCTACCCTGAAGCAAGAGATATAATCAGCTACCCTGTCACGACGGGAATACTGCCAAGGGATCCGCAAAGGATAGGTGGGGCATTCCACGATAGATCGTACCAGGCCCGTCACCCTCATCTCTCAGATTTTAATGAAAATCGGTCCTAGGGGTAATCATAGGCCCCAAAGACGCCTGGCAAAATATCAGACTTCTCAGATCAAAACTTTTTGAGTTATATTGCATTACATTTTCTTAACTTCGGTTTGTAACGGTGAGTTTGATGGCCTATAACTCAAGAACGGGTTAAGCAACCAAAAAACAGTAAACAACACTAAGCTTGCGATGAATCAAAAATTCCAAAGAAAAATTTTCATTGTTGAGCAAAACCATAATCTTTTTTCATTTGCCTCTAATGACTTTTGGGACCAGAATTTTTCACATTTTATTTTTTCAAAATAAACTTCATGTCATTGCAAATCGACATGCAAAAAATTAGAAAGGTGTTCTTTCTATAAGTTCCTCATTTTCCCGCAAACAAAATGGGTTTCGGAGGGGTTGATACGACCCCAGCACGCCATTTCGCTTCTAATAGAGCTAGAGCCTCGCGGAAAAAACGAGCGTGTGTGCCGTTACAAGTCGCAGCGATTGGTACCCGATTTTAAGGTCTCAGGTTAACCGGTAGCGTCTGAGGTCAGGTCAAGTGACTGAAATTACGTGTTCGGTTTTTAGTAAATAACTTCGCACAAAATGGCCGCAGAGCCGCGATTTTGGCATCATTGTGTTCGCCTAGCTCAGGTGCATCGAATGGTATACTTTTTGCTAGGGTGAAGTCAACTTAAGTAGCTGACCTCGGGTCAAGGTCAGGTCAGAGCCCCTCAGGTCATGAAGCTGGGCAAAGGGTATCATATGGCATATCATTCGATTCGGAAGGTCTTCCCGAGTTCATTGGTGGCTTTCCCGACTCTCTAGCTCCATTTGACGTCATAAACGACGTCACGCAAGGTTAACAATGCAAAAGTGAAGCATTGGACTTTGCAAGGAGTGCATGAAATCACGATACCATGTACATACGTGAGATAGTTTTAGATCATTCTCGGCGCCAAAATAACAGTTTTTATATTTCCCCATTGACTTATAACAGTGATGTCACGTGACCGACCTGACCTCATGTAACCTTAAAAAATTCCCAGATATACAAGTTGTGAGACCTCTGGAGGACACCATGTATGCATCCTGTAACTTTCATCTCGGACAGCTATGGTCATTGGCGTCCAAAACAATGTCAGAACCAAACAGCCTTTTTCACCCTCGCACTTATAGGAAAGAGGGTTGGATGAACCCTCTTTTCACTTTTTTTTTCAGATGACTCAGACTTCAATTGAAATTTTAGTAACCCGTGATGTCACAAGGCAGCTTTACCACGCCATTTGTAAGCTCCCCTCCCGAAATCACTATTCGAAACCGTTATCGTGACGTAAAATAAATACATTTTTATAGAAAGAACACCTTCCTAATTTTTTGCATACTTCTTTACAATGAGCCAAATATTTTTTTAAAGAAATAAAATTTCAAAAAAATTTGGTCCCAAAGTTCAAAAAATGCAAATGAAAGAAAACTCGATATGTCATATATCGAGTTTTCTTGTATATCGAGTTTTCATATATATGTCATATATCGAGTTTTCGATATGTCATATATCGAGTGCAAAAAAATACATATTAATCTCTGTTTCATTGCGAGTTCAGTGTTATACAACATTTGGCATTTGAATAATCCGTCTTAGAGTTACAGCCCGCCAAACTTAGCGCTGCAAAGCAAGATCCAAAAAATGTTATACACCATAACTCAAAAAATACTTATCTCATAAGCATGAAATTGTTACAGGTGGATTCAGAGCCCCTGATTACCCCTGAGACCACTTCTCGTCAAATTCCGAGAGATGAGGGTGTCAAATTGGAAAAAAGTGGTACGATCTATCGTGGAATGCCCCAGGTGGAAGGTGGCACGGTTCGTCGGAAGGTCATCTCAAGCTAAAAAGAAACGATATATACCATTCGAAAGCTGACGGTGAGCTGAATCCAAAAATGCAATTTTTATCCAAATCGATCGATGGCCTTTTTTGAAAATTGCGTTTTTGTAAAAACTTTATAATTCTCTATTCAACGGGCTGTCCCGGACATCCTTGAAAACATAAACATGTATTATTGAGTTCCAGTGAAAGCTGAACGCCAAAAGAACAATATTTAGCGATGCAATATTTCCAAACATTAATATGCGTCTCCCACAGCCGACAATAAGGCGCAATCACACAGCTCAGTGTCACGATGGACCAAAGTCAGCCACACAGAAGCGTGAAATGACCCTTATCGACTCGCAGACCCGGCGCTCTCGGCCCGCCTGACCGGCCACGGCAAGGAGGTTCGGCTGTCGTTCTACTAAACAGACGTCATATTTGTTAGTTTAACGATTCAAGTCGGTAGGGTAGTGTGGGGTAATTTGAACATATTTTTACGTCTTCTCCGTTGTACCAAATTCCGGTTCAACCCTGGATGAAGAAAAACTGCTTCAGTAGCGCAAGTGTCACTTGCTTTCACCATGCAAACCTCATTTTTGGACGAGCCGAGCATACCTTGAATAGCATAGCCTCACTTCTCCACCAAGTCACGGTGTGTTCAAATTGCCCAACCGTGGGGTAATTTGAACATACTGCCTTTACCTGTCATAAAAACGATAGTCTCGCCAGCACCGATGTTGTTTGACCCATAAACAAATAGGCAGAACAATTCTAAACATACCTTCACTTGAAAAATCAACACAACAGCAAAAATAACAGTTGCAGAGTATCAATATCTGCACGCTGCACACCGGTCAGTTGACAGAATTCGCCCCTCTTCAATTAACAGAACGTCTATCATTTTTGTTCGATAAAAACTCTCCCAACCGTACTACATCTGTTAAAGTGGTGCCAATCGAAACCTGGACATTTGGAGTTCTGATTTTGTCCAATGTCCAATTCGGAATTGTTTGGACAAAGGTAGCAGACTGGACAATATGGACGATGGCTTGCTACACTTCAGCGCTTTTTATAAAGTAATCGTATTCGTGCATAGCATTGATTGGCGAATGGAAAGCTTGTTAAGATCCCAATATAATGAACACTTTTCGGCTGGTAAAATTACATGATAAGCAATATAAATGACGGTTTTGAGTGTTGATAGCAGCAATAATTTTCGGACATATTTGAACAAATAGTTAACTTTAACATTTTTGGACGGAAAATCAACAAAAATGCCGGACATTAGACGGATATTAGACGTAAATGTTCTAAAACTGGCATCACTTATCTGCTACTGCCTTGGGTAGAAAATATTGGCAAAAAAAAACTGGGAGCGTTGTTTTTTTTTGAGCTATCCCTGTCTTCATTCAAATTCTCACACTATGTTCAAATTACCCCACGCTAAAAGTTATTTTGCCATTTTAAAAAACAGGGTTCAAAAGCAAATTTATTGGATTGACGGCGCTGATTAGGTCATTATACAACAAAAGCCGTTGCGTATTAGGCGCTAGCAATGCAAGATTTTGCGCTGCAATGAAGTTGCAATGACGTGTTGTTAGGCGTTTTCCTTGCGAAATTGATTTTTTACACTGTGCGTCAACATCTTCATTCCCTGAAACTCAAAACCCCGTTCATATGACAGCCCTTTTAGTTACGATAATTTCTCTCATTGGTCTTATTGTCATGCCACTTATGGATTTTCCGTAATTTTCTGTTATTCACACTATGTTCAAATTGCCCCACATGTTCAAATTACCCCACCCTACCCTACTTGAGTTATTCAGGATACATGAGCAGAAGATTCATTGCTTTGTCATCTTCACATCATGCATTAATTTGCATTTGTTCAAGTCTACTTTGCTCAATTGAGCTTGGTATCATGCCCACATAAGGAAAATTGGCCGCGCTGAAATGTCAGAGGTTGTACCGGCCTGAGGCCTCAGCTCGGGTGGAGTGGGGGTAGCGCCCGGTGGGGCAGGGTAACCTTTGACCGGTCGTACGGCCGAGCAGCTGTCACCAGTACAGCCTCTGACGGTGAAACCCCGCTCACTTCCCCTGCGCGGGCACTGAGCGCAGCTGGATGGAACAACATATGTATCAGAAAAATGTAAATTAAAGCATGTTGTAAATCAAGCAGAACAATGAATTTTCTTCACAGGTATCCTGAATAACTTTAATAGCGATATAGACAGATAAACTGACAAATATGACATTTGTTTAGTAGAACGAGAGCCGAACGTTCTTTCCGTGGCTGGTCAGGCGGGCCTAGAGCGCCGGGTCTGCGAGTCGATAAGGGTCATTTCACGCTTCTGTGTGGTTGACTTTGGTCCATCGTGATACTGAGCTGTGTGATTGCGCCTTATTGTCGGCTGTGGGAGACGCATATGTTAGGAAATATTGATTCGCTAAATATTGTTCTTTTGGCGTTCAGCTTTCACTGCAACTCGAAAAAACATGCTTATTTTTTCAAGAATGCCCGGGACAGCCCGTTGAAAACTATAAAGTTTTTACAGAAACGCAATTTTCAAAAAAAGGCCATCGATCGATTTTGATAAAAAATACATTTTTGGATTTAGCTCACCGTCAGCTTTCGAATGGTATATATCGTTTCTTTTGAGCCTG